AGTATACATGTATATGGTTCCCTACCTCAATGCAAGAAAGTCCACCAGAAGATCCCAATCATTGAAAATTCCAAGTTCCAAAGAAGTATTGAAAGATATGATATATAGAACAATATATAGTAACCAAGTAATTATCTAGAATAAAAGAGTAATACAGATGGAAATAGAGGATTGGAAAACAAATATTATCAAAGATTATGTTAAAGAAGGCACCTATTAATCCTATCTGATCAAAATACTTAATTGCAATAAATAAAAAAAAGAATCAATGACATTTTACTCTGATGGATCCCTCATAAATCATGGAAGTACAAATATGATAATGAGAGTAACATGGATATAGATAGAAGAAGCAGGAAGAGAAAGCAAGTTCCAAACTAAAGTAGAAGATTAATCTTTATTCACTAGAGCAGAACTAGTAGCAATAGTTATTATACTACTAGTAGCTTTAGTAGATAACAAGATCGAGATCTTTACAGATAGTCAAGTCTACATCTCAAAGTGAAAAACTATAGAAAAGGAGGATTACAAAATGATTTACAAAAGATGATTAAAAGAACAAAACTGATTCTTGTGGGCATATATGCTGGATCTTGTAAAGAAACAGAAGCTGGATCTCAAGTTTATCAAAGTTAAGACATACTCCAATATCTAGTATAATGAAGAAGCAGATGCTCTGGTCAAAGAAGCACTAAGATTTTCAGTAATAAAATGGAAAAAATTGGTCTTGCTCAAGATGATCATAGAAATTAAATGGCAGAATATAATGCTAAATACCTCTATAAGACAAGCTATTAAAAAAATTAATAACAAAGTAACAGCCTATCAATGGATAACTTAAGATAGAATTAAAAGGAGATGGGACCAGCAAATCCAAGATCAACATAGATACATGTAAAACCTAGTATGAAAATATTTTAATAAAAGATATATATGAAATATCTTATTTAAAAGTTCACGAAACAAATGCTTTTTTATTAAATTAACCAATTATAAGCTATCAATACTTACGAAGTTAACCATAAGAAGATCAAATTTTTATAAGCAAGTAAAATACATTATATGTGATCAGGAAGAGAAAACAATAGAACTCTTGCTAGAATGCCTAACTTACAAGACTTAGTAAAATAAGGTATGGCAAAAAGAAATAGAAGAAATCTTGAAAAAATTCAGAAAGCTCTTAAAAGAAAGAAAAACTGAATCAGAAGAAAAAGAGTTAAACTTGAGAATAGATGATAGAATAGAAATAGGAGAAATTGACAAACAGATAGCAAAACTGGTAGAAAGAATCTCAGAGACTAGTCAAAATACACTTAACTTCTGTATAAGACCAATAGAATAAGAGCTAGTTATCAAAATAGTGGATTTGATATGTCATAGCAAGATAATTAGAAAAGAAGCAAAAAAATGGATAACAAATATGTAAAAGAAAGTATATAATCACTTCTGAAAAAAAATATGAAATACAAGATATGAAAAGGTGATTAAATGGGAACAATAATCAGGAATTCGTAAATATGACAAGATAAAAAGATCATTATATCCATGAGATCAGAAAAGAAAGAGCAAAATTACAGAAAGTCAATCCAATAAGAAACTGATATATGAAGAAAAAAGAATCGAAGACATGATGTTGAAAGAAATCCTATTAAATGGAGTAAAGTATTGTATGAAGTGGTTGAGTTTTAATCTCTGTCAAAGTTTAAAAGAGTGATCTGCAATAGTGATCTATAGGCAATGATATTAGAAGTTGAAAAAGTTTTATTTGAACCTTTAACAGAGTGATAAATCACTTTCAAAGTTGTACTTAGAGAGGTAATACAATTAAAACAAATAAGTTAATTAGAGATTTAACTTTAATATTTTATTTAATATGTACAGCTTACAAATGTTTAATAAAGCATATAACTAACCTAATAGAGGGTATTTAAAAAAAAAAAAAAAAACTTTTAATAAAAAAAGTTTCTAATTAAAATAATTTATAATGTTTTTTTCAAATTAATAATAAGCAGTTTAAATTATATAAATATATAAGATACAATATATTATTTATAAAGATAAAATAGAAAAATTAAATATTTATTAAAATATTCAATTGATGATAATAAAATAAAAATGATTTAAATGACCTACGGGTCCATAGTGCAGTGGTTAGCACTCCATAGGTCTGATCATAAGATACAGGTTCAAATTCTTCAGATGGCAATGTCTGAAATTGGTAAAAATCTGCATCCGTTGACCTAACTGTATCTAACTGACGTTTCTGAATATAGCTACTTGTCTTAAGGAATTATTGGGGAAGAATACTTATTGATAAGTAATATGATCTATATAAGGATTGTGATCAGCTGTGATATCTGAAAATCGGTTAAGATTATCCTGATGTCACTAGTTACTGTTTAGGGGAGAATATAGTAATAAACACAAGAGTAGATCTCTAAACTGGTAGGATGTCACTAATAATCAAGCATTGATCTTTGTGTCGCTTACTGACTTAACTATCGGGAGGCCTTTATGGGAGAAAAAATCTGCGGACCACTTCGAAAAACCAAAATACTGGGTTCAGGATACTGTATTTGACAACCTGATAACCTATCTACTCTGGTATAAAAATGTATAGGGAATAATTAAGATGGAATCGTGCAGTTTTCTGTTGAAGTAGTACTTATACATATATAGTATGATCAATATAGTTAACCATATATATGATAGTTTACTATAATAGTTGATATATATAGTGCTTATTTAAGAATGTACACAATAGACACATTACCTCTTTCTTTGTCTGTATAAGCACATACGACAGTGATTCTGATCCAATAAATAACTCAAATAAAAACTGTAGGGCTTGGTTAGACATACGGCAGTGTCAACCTGCTGACAATGATGCAGTGAACTAGGAGGATCTTCACCCAAAGACACTGCAGAGTGAAATATTGTTCTCAAGGTCAAACTTAGAGGCTTTTATACTTATGATGAGTTAGTTAGATTAGAATAATAGTTTAGCTATAGTATGTATTATGCTGCTTGAATAAAAATATACTTTTGTCTTCATTTGATTAATAAACTGATGATCTAGCCTAGCTACAGGTACTCAAAAAAAAAAATAAAAATAAAAATGATTTAAAATAAAAATATATATTGTGACATAAATTTTTTTGAAATTATAATACAAATGATAACTTTAAGTAGATTAATTCAAATTTAATTAAAAATATCATATTTTGAAAGTAAGAATTTTGTAATTTTATTTATATTATTATTAGTAATTAATATATTTATTATTATTTTATATTATAAGCTCATATCTAGTCTTTATTGAGTCAATTAGATTTTTTAAAGTAATCTTCAAAATAGAACTCTACTCCTTAACCATATATTGTATTAAATTATCTAAATTTTATAACAATTTTTTTTTAACCTTTCATTTTATAATATTTTATAGATTTTTGATTAGATTAATATTCAGACTGTTGAATAGTCAATTTATAATTTCATTCATATTCATTTCAAGAAATGATTTTGTAAAGTAGTTTAACTATTGTTTTATAGTATTGTGAAAGATTAGAAAAATCATTTCATTAATAAAAATATATTGGATCAATTATCATTCAAATATTTTTATATCTATTCTATCAATTTTTCCTTATGAAGCTTTATAAACATTAATGTTAGATTTAAAATATTATACTTATATCCAAGTGATTTCAAATAGCATGCAATGGTTATTTGGAAAACTTGATTATTTAATTATATTATCAAACTTTATGTAGAAATTATAGATTTTACTTTATATATTGCTATATTTATTTGAAATTTTCTTAATAATGGATTTTGGTCAACCTCCTCGTTTTTTTGTTTATGTTTTTTTTTTTATCATCTTCTTTTGCCCTTCAATTCCGTATTAAAATAATAGTTTCGAAATTAGATTAACAACATAAAACTATATTGCATTTGTAAAAAAAAAAGTTAATTTAGTCAAAAAAATTCATACTATAATCAAAATCCTTCTTAGAATTATATATTATAATCTAAAACTCAGGATCATTAGCAATAATACAAAAGTTCAAGATCATTTTATCAAATTTCAAAAATCAATTGAAAATCTTTGCTTGGAATGGACTTGATAAAAAAGATAAAGTAAACTTTACTATTTTAAAAAAATAATGACATCTGAAACCTATATAGAAATATTAAAGAAAAAATTGTCAACGATAAAGAAAATAATGGATAAAAAATATTTATATGCCTTTTTATCTTATAAAAAGCAAAATCAGTAATTAGTAATAATAATCTGCAAGCAATGGTACTAATAATAGGAAGGATATCTATTTAAGTTGCTATAGGATAACAAATCACTTCCAAAGTTGCATTTAGAGTCAATTCAAATAAGATGAGTGAGTTAGTTAAATAGATTTGGCTTTAGTGATACGTGTCAAAATATATGACTCATATGGATTTAATAAAGCACACTTAATTAACCTGACAATGAATTATAAAAAATTGTCTTTAAATCTAATTATATACGCGTTTTTTATTTTACACTAATTCCCAATTGAAATTAAAAGCATTAATTTTTAATTATAGCAACTTCTAGTAAATTATAAATAAAATATTAGGCAAAAAAAAAAAAAATTTTTTTTAACGATTATGGTCCTAGTAAGGCAAAATAGTTAAAACTTAGCGTATCGAGTAAAATCGATTAAGTTGATTCGGTATGAAAATTTACAATTCATTTTTATGAGAAATCAATTAATGAATTTGATAATTTACTTTTTAAAATTTATAAAAACATAATTTATAACAAGACAAATATGGTTATTCAAATAATTTATTATTTTTTTTTTTTTTTAGAAAATTTTCATACTTCATTAGTATTTAAGTTTATAAATGACAATAGTAAAAATAAATAAATAAAGTCGCTTATTTAATCGATTAAAACCTTGTACGGATTCATAATGCCATTGGGGTCTATGACTTTCTTTATTCTTTTCATCACGTCAATCATAGGTTTCGGTTTTGAAAAGTCCAGGTATTTTGCCTTCATAAGTCCGAGGCCATGTTCTGTTGGTGTAAGGAGAGATAAAAGAAAAGAACAAAGGAATGTGTAGAAGTCGGTGTCGATGCGATTTACCTGCAGAAATAGATCCCCTGTATTTCTCTATCCATTCATAAACCCATGGTTCAATCAAAGCAGTAATTTCAGGTGTATAGCTCTCCGCAGTAATATTCAAGTGTAGATTACCTAAATCGAAGAAGATTAATTAAAGGGACGAAGTAAGAAAACGGTGGTCGATATTAAGGCTGTTGTCTCACCATCTCCAATGTGACCAAATCCCGTAACTTCATTTACGGCACCTTTCAGTCTGTGACGTGCATCCTCCACCATCTTATACAGAAATTCTAGTGGAATAGATACGTCGTATTTATACAGGGCTCCGGCTTTACTACATGCTTCGGGTATCTTCTCACGAATCGACCAAATCGTTTTGAATTGAGTTTCGTCTTGAGCAACAACAGCGTTTTTAGCTATATCTTTTTCCAGTAAATTTTCCAAATAACCGAGCAATTTCTAAAGATCCAATTCGTAATTTAATGAATAATATTACCTCAACAACAACAACAAAAAAAAAAAAAAAAATTTACTTCGTCATTGTGAACTTTATTCGACCCACTGACTTCAACCAGCACATAAAAAGGATAGTCGTCTTCCAAAGGGAGCTTTCCCTGAACGAGATTATGGTCTTTGATTAACTTTATGGAGCCGGCGTCCCAAAATTCAAAAGCTATGGTTTTTTTTATCAGGTTATAGGCGTTATTCCATGCATAACACGAGAGAATTTATCAACAGACGAATGTTTAATTACCCGACAGGATTTCACTTAATTCTTCCTTTGATCTAATATACGCTTCTTGAACATTTTCGAACGAACTTAAACCAAGTAGGGAAACATTGATTGCCTATTTGAGGATTTTAATATTGGAAACCCATTGAAAAATTGTGCGATTTCTTCCACCCCAAAAAAGGGAATAAAAAAACCTTTGGTTTTCGAGGAGTTTGGATTGAAACACCGGTGACTATTCCCAATGTACCTTCGGAACCGATGAAAAGCTGTTTTAAATCGTAACCTATCGAATAAGTAAACCGTTGGAATCAATATATCATTGTATAACACGACCGAGTACTACGAACGTACCGGTGTTGTCCTTGCGAAGGGTTACGAGACCGTCTAAGATGGTTCCGTCAGGGAGAACCTGCCACGATTTGCGGTCAGTGAATTGAACTGGAACGAATGGCGCGTCTAATACATACCACTTCCAACCCCAATACATTTCCGTGGAGGGAACCATACCGTAGGAGTCTCAATCCGCCGGCATTTGTTGCTACATTACCGCCTATGTGACAACTGATCGCATTCGTTTTGTCTCGTAAACAATTGATATCTACGTGGTAACAAGAATATCAGCAAAGAGTCCTGATTTGTACCTGCCCTTTGCGCCCAGATCTAGAGGCATGATGTATCCGTGATCAGAAAGATAGTTGTCCAGGTTTTCAAGGATGCAACCGGAATCACACACAAGAGAACCTTTTTGAATATAAAATGAATTTGCATATAAGAGACAGACAACACATATCCTCTAGTCACCAACTAAGAAAAAAGAATCTTACCGGATAAAGAATCAAACGACCTGATGTTATTCATGTTTTTGGTATTAATAATAATTTCGTCGAACACAGGCACGCTACCACCTGATGGAAAATTTCGTCGATAAAATGTCCAAGCAGTTTGTAAACTTGATTAATGATGTTATCATCGTCACCTTACCAACAAGACCCGTATTGCCACCTTGAGGTACGATGGCTAATTTTCTATCGTTGCAATATTTCATTAGCTTTGAAACTTGCTCGGTGGTTTTGGGTTTTGCGACCAATCTTGATTTTCCTCGATATTTTCTCAACCAGTCAGTGTTGTAAGATAATAGTTCGTCTTGGTTGTCTACGACTAAACAGTTGGAAGGCAGAACCGACCGAAAAAATGAAATGTCCTCTTGTGTAATCTGAATTACAAGTGGCAGGGACATTTTAATAGTAAGAAGGCAAAGGATTGAAGGTACTCACACATACGCATTAAATTACCTCGCTGAAATTTTGGTTTCTTTGCAAGTATGCATATCTGTCTGCGGTGAAGTCAATTTCCAGAGTGTTTTTGTGATTGAGGCTTGCATAATATCTTTGTGTCTTATGGTTGAATCTGAATTCTTTGAGCTGCTTCGTTAATAAGCTTCGGAATGGAGCTCTTTTGGCTAAAATCAGCAAGTTTTTCATGGTGGAGAAGGAGAGTGACCGTTTTCGCGATCGGTCGACACGAGGTCAAGATCAATTGTGCTACGTGACACCGATCATAAAAAAAAAATTATTATGGAGGATGGAACACGTAAAACTGGTAGAAAATAAATGTTCGTTCACAGATGCCGTTTTGTTGATTTTATGCCTGCGGCTGTAAATTGCTTGGCATTCACGCCTCCCACGACTCAGCCGCTCCTTGCCTGTGGTCGGGCGAATGGAAATATTGAGATATGGAATCCACGGGATCAATGGAATTTAGAGAGAGTAAGTCTATATGATTTCAAAATTCTAACTTTGCAGACGTACGCTGATTGATTAATTTTAAAAGACCATTCCTGGTGAAAAAGGCACATCGATCGAGGCCCTTATTTGGGTACACCGAAAAACTTTACCGGAGTCAGACGAGTCGAAGTTTCGAACGGAGACTAAAAAAAAAAGATTCTCGAGCGAACCCCTGAGATTACTTTCCGGCAGTTCCAATGGAATGATAATCGAATGGAACACGACAACATTAAGACAAAAGGTTTTAAGAACATTGTTAAATTCCAAAGTTATTCGCGCACGTTTAAACTTTATCTAAACGAACGTAGCAAACGTAGAAATCGTTTGATTCACACGGTGGAGCGGTTTGGAGCATGAAAAATAATTTTTCAAATACCTTGCTTGCTGTCGGTTGCGAGGATGGTGGTGTGCGCATTTTTGATATTACCGACGAAGGACTGATATTAAAGAGGGATCTCGCAAGAAACAAGGCCAGAATTATGTCGCTGGCTTGGGATTATGATGATAATTTTATAGTGACAGGCTCTTCGGACAGTAACATCGTAAGATGGAATGTTTCCGCGGGTAAGCAAGCATCGGTGATGTTTTATCAACATATTTTTGCATTACGGTTAGTTAACCTTTATTAAATGGGATAATGAAGCACGCGTAAATCAAAGGATGACGGTGGACACCCTAAAGAAAAAAGATACGATTGTTTGGGCGATCAACGTTCTCCGGTGAGTCCTGGATCAATCATCATTCGTTCAGTTTTAAATCAGGATTATTCTCAACTAAAGGACAACTTGAAATTCTGAAAATGCGTGACGATATCAGAGATGGCACAATCGTCAGTGGAGATTCGTTGGGTCACGTTTGCTTTTGGGATGGGAAAGTCGGGGCCATGCTGCAGAGGTTTAAAGCACACGACGCGGACGTGCTTTGCTTAACATCCAACCTGGTAACTTTCGATGTTTATTTGATTACACTTTCTGGGATGGACACTAACGTCGTAGTTGATCGATGATCATCCTCTTTTTACGCCTACACATGCGCAGGAAGGAACCGCCGTTTTCTCTTCAGGTGTCGACCGCAAATGTAATTTATTTCGAATTGTTGATTCCGGCATTTCGAATAATAAAGACATTAGCAAAGCGCATTCATGGGTTCTGGTCGGATTTCGGCGAACTCATTTACATGATGTGAGAGCAATTGCGCTAAGGGAAGATCAGGCACTTGTTTCCGGAGGTCGCGTACCGATGATTGCGTTTTGTGCTCAAAACAATTATGCCAATAGAATCATGCGAAATTTAACAATTGTCATTTAAAAAATACTTTTTATAGGCGTAGATACCGGAATGGTGGTTTACTCATTTGCCAATTTTCTCAAGGGCAATATTCGAAGGTTACCTTTCGTCCCTCAAAAGCCTTTAATTTCTATTTCCAAATCAAAACGCCTGTTGATGTATCGGAATTTCAATCAAATAAAGTTGTGGAAGTTGGGGGGAGGTAAGCGTCCTTTTTTTTTTTTCCTCCGATCACTTTGACGCGAACCTTTTCCCGGAAGCCGAAGTGTAACGATCGCACGTGTCACACCATACGACAGGCGTGCTACCAGATTCATGGCAGCTCGAAAAGATTCCGCGTCTGGACATGATTAAACCGCAGCGAGCCGTTTTGGAAATGACATTTAAGGTAAAAAATATTTTTAAGACTTTCGAAGGTCAGAAATCTCATCACGACAAGTTCGCCGCCTATTCAATCAAAATAGAAGTTTGGTTTCTTTTGCGCCATCTTATTTGTTGCTAACGTGTCTCTTCTGCAGGGTAACTTTCATCTCACCGCAAGCGCTATATCCGAGAATGGTGAATGGATCGCTGTGGCAGATGTAGAAACGGTGAAAGTTTTCAAGATACAGGAAGACGTAGGTCTCGACAATTTTTCCATCGACCATCACATTGAACATGGAATGATTTTAAAATCTTCTTCGCTTCGCTTTTAGACATCAAATCCTGACAAGATATTGGTCCGTAAGATAAAATTCCCTCTGAACGTCACGGATGGCCGTCGCATTGGAGCGCATCAATTAATATTCACGCCGGATGGGACCAAACTTGTGATAGTTTATATCGATTCATCCACGGTGGTTACTGAACTCGGGGGTTGGCAAAATGACGAAATAAAAATTTTAAAAAAATTTAGCCAACACGTGCAACCGTCAGATGGACCCGCAACGACCGTTATTTCGATAACCGTGAGCGACGACGGGAAATGGTTGGCCACGGGTGATCTTTTCAATCGAATCAATGTTTACAACCTGGAAGACCTAGAGGTAGATCGTTCGAGCGTCAACATGCATTTTAAATTTTTTTTTTTTTTTTTGCCAAGGAGTTAACCAAATCTCTCTTTTTCTTCGTTGGCTGCGAGAATAGCATCGGGCAACTCTTCCAAAATATTCGTCGACCCACACATCATTAACATTTCATCCGTCCCTTCCCCGTCTGATAGTCACCCTGGCGTCCAATCAATTTTTGATCTTTGATATTGAGTCAATGAAGCTCACCGATTGGTCACAAAAGCATTTTCAAAACTTACCCGATGAATTTCTCAAGCTGGAGAACAGGATCATGGGGTGTGCTTTCAACCCCGACAATGAAAATTCCATGATACTTTGGGCAGCCGGCTATTTCTGCCTGGTCGATTTTGACAAGTGTAACGGGGATCAAGAAGTACCACTAATCTTGGCTCATTGCAATGGGTGGCAGAAGAAACCGCAGGATCAGAGATTCGAGAACGAGGGTGGCATCAATTTTCAACTCGTCCAAAGGTATCAGCCTTTGTTGTTTGTTGATTTCGTCGCGCCAAATTCTATGGTGGTCGTTGAAAGGCCGTTTGCAATGATTTTAGAAAATTTGCCGCCATCATTCTACAAGGCACATTATGGCACTTGAATAATACAAACTATAAAAGGAAAGTCCATTTGATACTGCGGAATCGACTTAAAAGTAGTTTAGATTTATTTTTTTCCTACGGTACATCAATCAAATTAATAATATATGATAAAGAATCTCCGCAAACGGTTGTATTAAAACATGGTCATGATAGGAAATTGTTTGCATCCCGCCTTAACCAATTATCGACTTCTAATAATTTGTATGCATGTCGCGTGTCGTACAAACGCGGACAGATCAGAATGTTTACCAAAAAGGTGAAATTTTATTTTCCATTTTCATTTTCCAAAAAAAGAATCGATGCCTGCATAACAGCCGTTTTATAGCACGTACCACAAACTTTTAGAGGTGCGTACGTAATCAACTCAACAATATATAAGATTAAACATATCAATATATGACGATAGTGTATCTATCTTATTTACCGTAATTTTTATCATCATAAAATATACACAATAAAAAAAAAAAAAAAAACCACGTCAACGAGAATTATGCAAGTAGGTGTTGGAACGCTTGCATGTTTTGTTCGGTCTCGGATAATAACGATTCGATTGGCATGATGCCCGAAACGCTACCCTTGAAGGAAAGGAATGAATCCGCGCACCCAATCGAGCTTTCGAACAATGATTCATCCGCTCGGCGAAAGAGAAAAAAAGTGAGGACATCTCGTCATCAGGAGTTTTATTTTTTTCTATTCGTTGCATGAGAAAAATCAGACTAATTGTTAAAATAGAATGTTGACAAACGGTACACCACTTCGTGTTTATCAATTAATTCAAATAAATGCCTTGCAAAGAATTTTAATATCTTGTGATGGTGGTGCACGCACAGTTTATTTGTGATTGTTCTAACGGGTGACATAAATTATTTATTTATTTATTTTTTTTTTTCTTACATTGAAGCATTTGATGATGATGCATTTATGCTAATCATCCAACTGCAATACACCGTTAGCCAACAGTTTTCTTTTTTCTCCTTCTCTCTCACCTGCCAACGTCGGATAGGGGAGTTGTTGGCTAAAAAGTTCAAAAAAAAAAAATTTTTAGGCATACGCCAGCGACTCGATGCGTCGTGAAGCGTAGGAGATTGACACCCTTCCCCCAAAAAGCACTTATTGTTTATTGTTACTATTTATTATTGTTATTCTTTTCTTCTCCCCCCTTAGCATATTTTTAAATTTTGTCTCACCTTAATTTTTTTGTCAACCCGGTGAGCCTGAAAAGCAATATATGTCTTTGCCCGTAAAACATACGCCGAAATCATCCCAGGGGAGTCTTTCGAGTTCAAGCTGTGACATTTTTTACGAGGCAACCACTGAAGTCGCAAAAGATATGAGTCAAACGAACAACAATTCCAGCAGCGCCGTCAACAACAATTCGGCCGATGAGGAAAAGAGCGAAACCTCACAACAGAATAAGATACATCAACACGCAAAGTCCATAGACTCGGCGATTTCGCCGATGCAATCAGTCTACATGACGCCCCAGGATTCTACTTGTAATCTGTTGATTAACGCAATTAAGCAGGCTGCCGCAACCAATTACTTTGAATCGGGTTATCGGATGGAAGAACCGACCACGTCTCCAACCTCAACACCATTTTTCACAACACCATCAACTCCTTTCGGTCCTTCCAGACAAACAATGGATCTTAGCAATATTCCCGATTTTCCTTTTAGCACGCCAAACGCTGCCAAGACGGCTTCTAACAAACAATCTATCAATGCCGCGGCTGTCGCCGCAAAGATAAAAGAGTATGAGTCGTTGATAAGAAAGGAGTCGTTGATAAGAAAGGTGTCTCAGAACAACCTGAACACAATTGTTGAAACTGCCGAAGTCTCATCCCAAAGGCTCGATAAGACCATCGAGTCACCGAGGACTCCAACCGAGGAATCACCAAAGTACAATCAAATCATTGACTCACAAAAGCCAAATCCAACCAGACCATTTTCAAAGTATAATCACACTGTTGAACTGTCTTCGGATTCAAACACCTTTGTCGCCGATTCCTATGATCATATGGAAGTCGACTCGGCCACAAACTCGGTGACCGGTTCCTGGCCAGATCAAACGGATCACTTCGCGAAAAGGATGGACGACGGGACCGCTTTGATGAATCATGAACACAAATCCAACAGGTGGACGGCCTCGCTAGAGTCTAACTTGTACGATTTTCCCAAGAAAGAATATTTGAGAAGTTCAGCCTCGACCACCAATCCCGGCCATAAGCGCAGTTCGTCGAGGGACGTCATCATAGAAGAAATAACGAGCACCTCAAAAAGAATCTCCAAGATGCCCTACATGACCAGAGGCGATATCATAACTAAGAGCGATGGCGCAATGGAAGCTGCTGGGACAGATTCACCGATATCATCAAGAATTTTGGTGAGGGATGCCGTCGTGTTTTCTCCCGCGCCTTCAAAAAGATCAAAGGAATCCTACATAATCAGCGACCCCGAGGATCAGCTGATAATAATAAATCCGAGACTTCGCAATAAAATTCTGTTGTTAATTGGGTGCGTAACGACTCGATACGACTCCGCAGGTCACCATTATGTAAAAGTCTAATTTTGATTTTCTTTTTTTTTTAAAAAAGGATATGTTTGGTGTTCTTCTTGGTGATACTTGATATGAATCTGGTGGCGAACCAAATTCCCAAGATTGTTGACGAATTCAGGTCGGCTGAAAGCATTTCGTGGATCGTCACTTCGTATGGCCTCGCAAGCGTAAGTATAGTATATTGAGTGAGCGAGCGAGCGCGTGCTCGGATTATTTTCAGAGACGGAGAACGACCCTTTTAACGACATTTTTTTTTTTTTTTTTGTGAAAACAAAAAGGCGACAGTGCAACTTTTGTGCAGAAAATTTTTGAGTATAGTCGGAAAGAAGGTATTACTTTTAATGGCTATTTTTATCTTTGGACTTGGTTCAACGTTGTGTGGAGCGTCGCAGGGTATTCAATGGTTAATTTGGTCTAGAGCTTTGGCGGGAATGGGTGGTGGTGTTGTAATTTTCATGGCACCCAATGTCATATCTGACGTTACGCCCATGAATCAACGCGCTTTGTTCAATAATGTACTCTATGTGACCTTTGCACTTGGCTTAATTCTTGGACCGATCATCGGTGGTCTGTTCGTAGACTACTTATCGTGGCGATGGACATTTTACATGCATGGGCCACTCTCAATCATATCCATTGTGATGTTGTTATTTATTATTAAGGCTCCAACTCCGGTTGGTCCGGTGCGCGCCAAGTTGAAACGCATCGATTGGCCTGGCATCTTCCTGTTGCTGTCAGGATCGTTGCTTGTCCTCTTACTGTTAAACTATGGCGGAATCAGATTCGCCTGGTCCAGCATCCCAATAATTGGAATGTCCGTGTCGGGCATACTCATATTAGCGGCATTTGTTACATTTGAAGTGAGGTTCGCTGCAGAACCACTCATTCCCGGATTTTTTTTCAATGACTCTTGTCTACGCGCGGTGTTTGGTGGATTCTTTTTTATCGGATGGGTTCAGGTGGTCGTCGGTTACTTCACTCCGATCTACTTTCAAAACGTCCTAGGATTTACAGCGACTGCATCCGGCATAGCCCTCTTGCCATTTTTAGTTAGCATGGTTGTCTCCTTCGGATTGGGTAGCATTGTGGTATCGTGTACCGGCCGTTATAGGTGGCTCATATACATCGGCTCGTTATTGCTCATTGCGGGCAGCGCACTGCTGTCAACGTACACGTTGGACACTGACGGAGCATTACGAACCGCATCTCTGATAATAGTTGGAATTGGCATCGGATCTCTTTCAATCCTTTCCACACCGGCCCAGGCAGCTGCGAAAGGAAGGGAAAAAAGGATTATAGCTGGATTATGTAATTTTTTCCGAGGAAGTGGTTGGGCCGTTGGCATGGCAGTTTCCGGTGCCCTGTTTAACAACGAAATAATATCACACATTCAAAATTCATCGATTGCTACACTAAATGATGCCCTATCACCAGAGAGTCTAAGCAATCTTCCCTCGGATGGTCAAAACGCCATCTTGTCATATATTAGCGATGCGATCTCCAAAAACTTTGAACTTTGTATAGTCATATCAGTCATCGCGTTAGTATTCTCGCTATTCGTCGAGCACTATGAATTGAAAGAAGATCGTGGTATAGGCATTGCAAATGTCGAAGTATTGAATGAAAAGGTTTAAAAAGAGAAAGTGAAGATAAGCAGGGTTCGTGGTAGAAAAAGACAATGGAAATTTAAATTTCAGTCACCTGATCTTTCACCATTATCATTATATTGCTTGTTTCCAATTGAATGCATATTTCTTATATTTTTTAATGAGTCAACAACATTCTCATTTAATTTGTACCTTACTTTCCGTATGTATTGATTGTACTTTTATTCACTTCCATATGCCTCAAACAATTTTGTCATAATACCTATTAGGCACGAAGTATGTAACAATAGATGTATGTAATTTAATCCTCAAAAATTTATTTAAAATAAATCAATGAAATTCCTTCTTCAAACTCCATTCAAATTCCAAACTACCAGGCAACGGAATTTTCCATCACAGCATTCCGCTTAAGGCATCCGCAAATAGGTCATCGAAATCAGATTCATTTCTTTTATTAATTGAGGAAGCATCTTCCGACTCCTCGTCATTATCATAATGCGGCGCCGAATGTTCAGAAGCAGTCTCATTGTCACTTTGATCCGAAAATCCGTCTCCGGGAAAATCGACTTCACGTTTAATCGATTGACTACCGTAGCCGGTTGATGTAATTTGCAACACTCCCTCTCTGAATTTTTCCGCGTTGCCAGCCATTTCCTCGTTGGAATAATTTCCCAAAAGGATGGCCAACAAGAGGTAAAGCCCTGCGTGGTCTTTGGTCTTATGACTCCTGTTCGAAGAAATTGATCGTAACCAATCGGCGCGAGTTTCGATCAGGGCGTCGACAATCTCGCGCCCCTTGTCAAAAAATCTAGTAAAGTGAAAATGAGTGACGTTCTTTTAGGATGATGCATAATGGCGATGTAGTTTTGGGCGAGAAGCCTTACGCACTCTAACCAAACAAAGTGAACTATTAATTTTTTCAAATACGAAATTTTGTCATCTCCATGCTCGACGCGCTGAAACAACAGCTCAACTATATTATTATGAGCCTTCGCTAATTTCTTTTCGTAATCTTTACTTGTTTGCGCTGACACAAAGTTCGAATCAGTATGTGTAACGCGATCACTTCGAGTAACTGAACAGGGCCTTTGTTACCTATAATTTTTTCATAGTGGTTGATCAAAGGATTCAGCACTTTCTCGGGTGGACTCGATGGATCTATCTTGTGATATTCTTCCCCAGCTTCGATCCATCTTTTATCTTCAACCCGATATCGGTACAGAGTCTCGAATCGGATCCTATTAGTTTACGCAAGTAATGAGCCGCGAATTTTCAAGTGGCGTAAATAGATGCCAAGAAAGTTCTGGATCGGATACCTATGACCAGTCAGGTTACGCGGATTTTTCTCACAAAAAGTGTCAATCATACGCAGCGCCTCTTCGAAATCTCCGCCGGCCAACAATAGCTATTAAGAGGAAAGTCAGTAGTCAAATTCTCGACCCACCAACGCGAGAAATGAAAGATACCTTGATATAGTACGCTAAGAACATGTCATTCCCGATGTCCAAGTCTAAAGACATCTTAAATGACCTCGCGCTCAAATCATAATATCTCATGCGTCGTTCCATATGTTGTTCGTCATCTTGAATGTATATGATCATAAAAAAATATTTAACTAATTACTCTTCGCACCGGTCTGTCGCGTTAGAAAGAAATGTTTTCTGTTCACCATAATTCTCTGTTTCTAAAAGAGGTTCATCCTCTTCTTCGATGTCTGCACCCTCTGCACGCCTTCGTTCACTTGATGGTGAACGAGAGACATCCATGGCAACACCCAGATGATCCCACAATGCATAAGCCAATAAACCTGCATAACCGTGAAAAAGTGGATTATCACAGAACGGCACTTGTGGCAAGTACCTAAGGCAAAAGTGTCAAATTTAATCTGGTCTGAATGCGGAATCTCCGTGGTACATCCGGTTTCTGAATTATAAATACGTTTCAAGAGTTTCGAGAGCCTCTACCGGATTTCCCGAGTCCATCTGGAAAAAGATCAACTCCAACAAAATCTCGTTCTACTTACATCAAAATACATTAGTTGACAGCCATGAGCATGACAGAAAGTTTCGAGTATCAAAAAGCTTACCGCACATTTGGTATATACCAATAACTGATTGAAAAATTCCAAGCAGACTTTCTTTGAGGAACCAAGGTGCCTCAGTACGTCCACGGCTGCCTAAACCAAAGATGATTCACGTAAGTGTCAACATTCGTGGATCGTCTCCGACAGATACGTACTTGCCAAATTAATTCAATGTTCGCCTCGGGACACTGCAGCAAGATTTCAACGATTCGGTTCGCACGGCAATAATTTCTTTCACGAAGAGAAAGTTGAAGCAGATCGAACAGGTTTGAGGTGTGAACCTTACGGCGGATGGGTCGATGCCCTTCATCGACGAATATATATCTTCTTGACATCTTTTCAAGAAGTAGCAGAGAGGTAGGTAGATGATTGACAACCAATATATTGTCACATGATCCATCATGACGTAATGCGTGTTTAAATGAGACGCGCGCCTTGAAAACATTCGATCGCCTCTAAACAATGGAAACAAATGCGTGCGGAAAGGAAAACGGTATATTCAGGGCTGAACGGCAAGATAAAACGTACATTCGAACATCTCAACTGTTTTACGAAAAGCTAGCCGTCATTTTTCGACTTTTCTCATTTCAATTTTATTAGCATATATACAAGTCGAACCAATTCTAAGAGAACTGTGCTTGCACAAAAAAATATAAACACCCAAGAGGCAAATGTGAAAACAAACAATTTCATAAATCAAAACCATGGCGAAAAGCATAAGGCACGCGCTCAATCGAGTACAACCTTAAAGCAGAATACAAGTACTCCCGTGCAAGCCGAGTAAGTAGCCTGGATCGGTATAAAACTTTGCATGTACTTAAACGTTCCTAACTTTATTTTTTAGAAAAACATCTCGTAAGTCCTGGTCATTGAGTGACTTCGAAATAGGTGATCCTCTTGGTGAGGGAAGATTTGGACGCGTCTACAAGGCGAAAGAGAAATTAAGCGGTAAGATTGTTGCGCTCAAAGTAATGTTTAAAAGAGACTTGAGAGAGCATAGGCTTGAAGAACAATTGAAACGAGAGGTTGAGATTCAATGTCATCTGAGGTAAACGAAACCCTTTGATCCAATTTTGTGAAGTTGAGGTTAAACGGCGTTTCCTTTGACAATTCCAGGCATCCCAACATTCTACGTCTATTCGGCTTCTTCCATGACAAAGAACGTGTGTATTTGATATTGGAATATGCGGAGAAAGGAGAGTTATACAAGCACCTGTTAAAACGCACTAAATTCTCAGAGCGAGAGGCAGCGAGGGTTTGTATATCCGTCAGTCTTTGATGAACGGATTATTTGTTAAATGAAGCTATTTGTTCTCGTATAAATCCTTAAACAGTATGTCGCACAAATTTCCGATGCTCTCGGTTACCTCCAACGGAAGAACGTCATTCATAGGGATATGAAACCAGAGAACCTGTTGTTGTCGAAAAATGGATCTGTTAAAATCTCGGATTTTGGATGGGCTGTTCATGTTCCTTCGAATAAAAAGAGGTATGAAAGATCGATAAAAAAGTGTAACACATTTTTTTTTTTTATCACGGTGCTGATGAGAAGTAAAAAATATCAAATTTTGTAAAGCTCCAGGCGCACGACTTTCTGTGGAACTCTTGATTATTTGGGTAAGACATTTTTGAGAGAGCATCGCAGCATAGTTCTCTTATTATTGATTTATGTCGACTTGATAATGTTTATGTTTTCTTTATGATCACATTGTTCGATGAAACTTAGCACCTGAAATGGTTGTCGGGGAAAGTCACGACACCAAAATCGATTCGTGGGCCCTTGGCGTACTATGTTACGAATTTTTAGTCGGTCAACCACCATTCGTGGAGATGGATAGCGAGATTAGAACCTGTAATCGAATTGCGAGAGTCGATCTCAAATTGCCGGATGACATGTCCCGTGAAGCCAAAGACTTGATCAAATCGGTGAGAAAAGGCTTTTTTCGGAACGCATAGAATATTCGCGCACGCTTTGTCTCTAGATTTGGCGGTGCTGGCTGCAGTCTGATATGTTACCACCACCATGCTAATCATTTAAGCTCTATTGTGTAGCTATTGCGGCGCGATCCTGAAAAACGCCTACCCGTCGATAAGGTGTCTGTGCATCCATGGATCTTGATGAACAAATAATCCCGTCGATTAAATTATTATGAAAATGACTGGTCTCTTTAATGACATGCATGTTGTCAGTCTTCATGTGAACAAAATTAAAATATTATCTATTTATTTCGAATGCTAATGAACAATGGTATGGATGAATCATTCGATATCTCGTTTGCAGATCAGTCAAGTATTTGCCCAGCACATGCATAAATATCATCTAGTGTAAATCATTAGAATTTCTACTTATTATAGTAAATAAATGTAATTTGTTTACTTGTTATTAAATGTTTAATTTAAATCGATAGCAATTCGTCTCATCTTAACACATACTGTATATGGCTAATTATTTTCGAAGGCGAACAGGAATTTTTCTGACTTTATTGTACTCCTAGAATTTTTATATTGTATACCATTTTTGCTGTTATACATATACGAAGGTAACCAAATTATTAAATATGATATGATTTTTCGGTCCCCATTCACTGTCCGCCTTCGAAAATAATTAAATTGCCCGTATATTGTATTTCATAATTATGAGGTGAGTGAGTTGTGCTGAAAAAACTAATATTTGAAACATTTGATATGTTAAAGTTTGTACTGTATATCTACTGTGTATATTGATTGATATTTGATTGTAGTGCAAATCTATTTGGGGATACAAGGCTGCAAAACATAACCGTACATCAACCTGAGGACACCAATGACATTTATCGGTTAGAAAGTTAACGTCAATTCGATATTTGAGTATGAGTTGGGGATTCCTAATACTGGGTACTTTTGTTTATGATTATAGCAAATTAATTGTGTCACGGACCTTCTTTAAATGTAAAAAAACAAATTAATCCAGTCGTTCGATTCTCGAATTCTCACGCTTAGTAAATTAAAATCATGTGCTTGAGTGTTTATAAACCAGGAAACACATCCCGTTTCCACAACTATTTTTACTGAAAACGAAAACGATGGATTTCGGCCCAGAATCATCGGAATTTCAAAGGCTTCCGACGGACAGAAATACGTTGGACGAAGATCCCTCTGTCACCCTTCAGCCATCGGCCGGTGATACCAGCACTGCAACTAGTTCATTCGCGACCGGACCCGAAGGAAGTTCTAGTAACGTCGCCTCGACTTCCGGAAACATAGAGTTCACGAAGAGAAAGAACTGGTCGCAACAAATGGTCGAAGAATTAAAAGATTTTTTGCACGTTATATCAACGACGGGAAAAATTATGTATTGTTCCCCCTCGTCAACGGAAATAGTCGGGTACTCACCCGAGGAATTGGTTAATCGTATCATCACGGACTTCATCCATGTCGACGACATTGACATGTTCGTTCGAGATTTCAACAATGCCATGCGTCTGAAAACCAACTTCACCATCTACTATCGATTCCGAAGGAAAGATGACAAATTTGTCATCCTAGAGGTCAACGGTCAGCCGTACTTTGGTGAAAATAACTCCATGGAAAATTGTAAATGTTTCTTTAATATTGCCAGGGTGTATCCTTCCAAAACGGCTGTGATGTTGGATACATTCTTGGAACTTAAAGTGGAGAACGAATACTTGCGTCGTCAACTACACGACTTACTTGGTCCACCTGAGATCACAGCCGAGGGTAGCGGCAGTGCTGAGGCGACCACCAGCGAGGTAGTACTTCCAAGCGAAGGCAGTGCAATGGAGGAAATGGTTCAGGGTACGACCAATCCAATCAACCTACTCACCGGTCTGAGGTATGACGAGGGTGAATATGCTAAAGGAATTTCCACCGGCTCGAAAAATCCTAGTTTATTAAATGAGAGTTCGATGGATATAGACAAGAGAGATGATTCTTCGAGTACAATCACCACTTCAACTGATTCAACCTCTCAAGCTGTTGTTACACCTTCACCTTCAAAGAAGAAGGTCGTTAAAGTTTAAAATCTATTTAAGATTTCAAATCTAAAGAGATACTGATCGTGATTCCTCTTAATTTACAGAAAAAACTAAAGAAAGACGAGGAGGAGTACGTTTGCACGGATTGTGGAACGGTCGAATCGCCGGAGTGGAGAAAAGGTCCTTTGGGACCAAAGACGTAAGTATAAGATATACAACACTTTTGTCTCTCACCTCAAAGACTGAACTCGTTTTCTAACTGTGAATAATAATGCAAATTTTCTCATCGCCTGATAAAAGGTTATGCAATGCTTGCGGACTTAGGTGGTCTAAAAAAACGAAAAAACAGACAAATACTAACTTCGAAGGTTAGAAATAAACGCGCGACCTCTGGATAACCTCCATTCCCGATCGGGCTATTGCCTTATTGAGTCGACTACATTACGTTGTAAAAACGACGAATTTTAATTCATCTTCATTTGCATATCTCTTATTTCATGTAAATCTATCTCCATCATTATTCTTTTAACGTTTGTGAATAAAGCCCGGAAGGTTGTAATATGTATTGGTCGTCACCTGTTAATGTGAGTATGCTTTGGAGAATTCATATATTTATCGCGCCGAACGGTAAAGAATGCTGACGTCACGAGAAATTTTTGACAGTTACCTTGATAAATTTAAAATCACGAGTTCACGGGACATTCGCGATGAACCTGCGAAATATGATGATATTACATTGGAAAAAAAAGTTACTGAGCTTCCGAAGTTTTATAACTGATCGGTAATATTACGAATCCCTTATTCGATTAAACAATGTGCTTCGTGCATCCAAGGAATTTAATAAAATAAAGATAAATCATAATTTTACGACTTGTAAAACATAAATAATTTAAAATATACGTGAGGTACATACTGTATATACAGTATATTAAATTGATTGAAGACTTTGTTAAGCATTTGCCATAGTCATTACATTAACTATTTTTCAATATCTCAATAAAGACACACCATTGTGGCATGATTGTGGGTTAAAAAAAAAAAAAAAAACAATTTACCCCCATTTGAGAACCATT